AGGTGCCTGATGGCCTCCTGCATGAGATTCCTGCGAAGGGATTTTCTTGGGTGTGGGCAAGCAATGAACCGTCTTGGAGGACTGGAAATAAATTCCAGGGAGAGGCCGTGTCCGATGGTGTCCAGGACCCAGGCGTCCGTGGTGGTCGCCTCCCATTGAGCGAAGAAGAGGGACAACCGTCCCCCTATGGGAGGATCCGACCGAGGGTCACTTCCTACGGAAGGGACGACCCCCACCTCGAAAGGGCCGTTTAGATTGGAATTGCTGCCCAGGTCGCTGGGCTGGCCTTTCCGCCTGGCGGTCCTGCCTGGGAGTGAAGGTCCGGGCCGGCTGTCTGTTCTGGGGGGTGGAAGCTGGACGAAAGGACTGACTACGATTGTATGTAGGACGCCTGTCCGATCGTTTGGTAATATGTGCCAAGATCTTTTTCTTATCCTTGTTTTCGGATAGGAAGGGTGATAAGGCGTCCCCAAACAACTTACTATCTTGGTAAGGGGCTGCTGCCAAACGCCATTTTGCCTTGGCATCTGCCTGCCAGTTTCTTAACCATAACAGGCGACGAGAAGTCACATTAGATGCCAAGGTTCTAGAAGAGAACCGGGCAGCGTGCAAGGACGCATCGGAGGCATATTCCGTCGCAGCCACTAACTTGCTCAAGTCCTGGTGCGTGCGGACATCCTCCGGAGATGTCCTGGCCTGTAACTGACGGAGCCAGATTAGGGCGGACCTCGAGAAAAATGAGGCCGAGGTGGCTGCTTTGATAGACCACGCTGCCGCCTGGTGTGACCTCCTAAAGGCCATCTCCGATCTGCGCTCCTCAGATTTTAGGGCCTCTGCCATATCACCCGAAATAGTGGAGGGGGAGAACAAATTGGATAGGGGCTCATTACTGTGGGGACCAGTAATGCCTCCTCTAATTCTGAAGCCACACTAAACAGTTTCTTGTCGTTACCACCCGGGGTGGGGAAGGTACCTGGCGAGGCCCATTGTTTCTTGATTGTGTTGAGAAACAAAGCAGGGCATGGAACATGGTGCTGAGTGACCACCGGTTCTATGAAGACCCGATCCGTCTCTGGTTCAGTCGTG